CCACAGCCTCGATCTGCGGGGCTCCGGTGATCCTTCTGCCTCAGCCTTCCATGTAGCTGGAACTACAGATGGGCGCTGCCATGCCCGGCTAATTTTTTTGATTTGTTGTAGAGATGAGGTCTTGTCAAGTTGTCTGGGCGGGTCTCGAACCCGCGGGCTCAGGCAATCCACTCACCTCGGCCTCCCAAAGTGCTGGGATTACAGGCTGAGCCACCGAGCCCAGCCTCAAGCAAATTTTTTTAGTTCTAACTTTGTCCACAGATTCTTTACCTTTTTTTCCTACTTTTCTAGGTTTTGCAGATTCAAGTAAGAAAAAATAAAAAATTTTTAGCCATTACTTTGTCCACAGATTCTTTACCTTTTTTTCCTCCTTTTCTATGTTTTGTGGATTCAAGTAAGGAAAAATATAGGAGTGTTTGTTGAGCCCTTAGTTTCACTACTTGATTTTTATCCTTGCCTATGGTCAGTATGCATGTTTTTCAAACTAAAAATTTATGGAAGATCATCTTCTTAAAGGATTTTCTAACTGCTTTGAAAATTTAATTATAAGGAAAGTTCTATGAGAAACACAAAAGTGACTTACTTCAAAATATTTATATTTAATGAATTGTTTGTGTTGATGAGATTATCACAAGAAAGTAGAAATTCCCTGAAAGAAAATGTGGGGTCATCATGTCCTCGGAGCTAACAAAACCTTTGCCCAAGGAAGGAAAAAAGAAAATAAGGGAGGCCGGGCTCGGTGGCTCAGCCTGTAATCCCAGCGCTTTGGGGGCCAAGGTGAGTGGATTGCTTGAGCCCGCAGGTTCAAGACCCACTTGGGCAACTTGGCAAGACTTCGTCTCGTCTCTACAATAAATCAAAAAATGAGCCGGGCGTGGTAGCACGTGCCTGTAGTTCCAGCTACTCGGAAGGCTGAGGCGGAAGGATCGCCAGAGCCCAGCAGGTCGAGGCTGCGGTGGCCGGGAGCCGCTGCTGCACTCCAGTCTGGGCGACAGAGTGAGACTCCAACTCAAAAAAAAAAAAAGTACAGGCATATTCTTGATAATTGGATGACCAATTTATACCACGACTATCCACAAGTAGATTTGCATTTATTGGTCAGTTAGTACCAAATGGTTGTTTCCTTTTTTTTTTTTTTTGAGTTGGAGTCTCACTCTGTCGCCCGGCTAATTTTTTGAATTATTGTAGAGATGAGGTCTCGCCAAGTTGCCCAGGTGGGTCTCGAACCCACGGACTCTGGCAATCCACTCACCTCAGCCTCCCAAAGCGGGATTACAGGCTGAGCCACCGAGCCCGGCTAGCTTGTACTTCTTAGATGCTCTTCAAGATGAAAACAAAAGTAAATTCTATCGGAAGCTCATGGATCTAAACTTGAGTAATAACACTAGTAGCACTTATGTGCCAGGCACTGTCCTGAGTGATGCTATTAGCTCATTTAAAAGACCAAGTGGGGAAAGAGGGCACAGATCCAGTGCCTGGGCAGAGCAGGCTTTTAATATGAGGATAACTGGGACGTGGTGGCTCTGCCTGTAGTCCCAGTTACACCAGAGGCGGGGGTGGGAGGACCCACTGAGCCCAGGAGTTTGAGAGCAGATCATTTAGCTCATTTAATCCTCACAAAAACTTAATAGGGTAGGCCCTTTTTAATGCCTGGCTTTCAGAAGAGGAGAACTAAGGTTCAAATAAATGAAATCACTTGCCCAAGGGTTCAGTTAATAGGTAGCAGCAGAATCCAGATTCTACCCTAGACCATTGTTTATATTAGACATATACTTATGTATTTGTTCTGTCTCTCCCCATTCCCAAGAATGTAAACTTCAAATTTGGTTTCCTGCTCCCCATTGTATCTTCAGGGCCTGCCTAGATTATTAGATTAGGGCTTGGCACTGAATGATTATTTGTAGGATGGGTGAAAAGTGAATATCTTCAGCACCTAGAACAATGCATTATGTACTGTAGGTCAAAAAAATGATGTGCCAGGGCCAGGTGCGGTGGTTCAAGCCTGTAATCCCAGCACTTTGGGAGGCAGAGGCAAGAGAATTGCCTGAGCCCAGAGGTTTGAGACCAGCCTGGGCAACTTGGTGAGACCTCATCTCAACAAATCAAAAACCTAGCGGGGCATGGTAGCACATGCATGTGGTTCCAGCTACTTGGAAGGCTGAGGTGGAAGGATCACCTGAGCCCAGCAGATTGAGGCTGCGGTGGCCATGAGCGTGCCACTGGACTCCAACCTGGGCGACAGTGAGATTCCAACTCAAAAAAAAAAAAAAAAAAAA